TATATATATATATATATCTATGACAGTGTAAACTACTTGTACCTGATGTTGACAGAACTTTGTCGAAATGTTGTACATTTGCTGTTATGCTAAACTTATGTTAAAGTTTTTCTTCATTACCCATTCAAGCCATCTCCATGCACTATTAATTTAACTTGCCTTCTGATGATGTTTTGTTAACATGTATTAGTTATAATTTCATAATATGTATAGAAGGATTAGGTGGAAGTTTGTACTTTTCTGAAAGGACTTAAAGAACTTTATTCACATGTGTAAGTTTGTTTTGCAATGGTATTTTCATTTGGTATTACTTGTCTTCATCAGGAGGTCATCTCCAAACATATTTCAACATGTGGATGAATAGGTACATACAAAACACTTGATAAGAATTCCACACCACAGATAATTATTATTCTATCAATGACAGCTATGATCCACACACACACACAAACACAGGAAAAACTTTCTGTATATTAAGAAATTAAAACGTTAAACATAAATGGGAAAGCAAGTTATACTACTCAATAATTAGTTACTTATCCAATGAATAACAAAATTTTAATATTATATATTTTTAAGCTAACTCTAAGAGGCTCATAAAAAATGGTATGAAAATTAAAGCAAATGTGGAAATCAAACTAAAAATAACATAAGCAATCTCAACTTACCAAGTCCACAACTTCTGCCTTAAGAGATGAATGAACACCCATAGTGAAAGGTGTTGGTGTGCTAAGAACTTCAACTAAAGCGGCCGGTAGAAGTGGGATATATACGTGACTAGGGAATTAATGAATTAATTTACTAACTTTTAAGTTTTTATGGTTAAACACTTAATGCATTTATTATAAAAGAGGAAGCACTGCCAATCTAAAGCTGGTAAAATAAATCTTGTTTTTATATCTAAATTTAGTCTTAACTTAAAATCATCAACCAAAACCAAACATTCAAACACACAATGAATATCATGTTTAATTAGTACTATTGAATATATACCAGGTACAGAATGATGCCAGATTGGCAAAAACTCCAAATCTCTTGAAACAGCTCTTGTGGTATTCTTAGGTATACTGATTTCTGTGCAAGTACCAGATAGGCCTGCTTTATAATGGGAGGAATGACCAGGAAAATTGTGAAGTAAGTCTGAATTTAGCTAAATGACTGAGTTTTGAGCTAAGGAATAAACAGAATGGACTTGTCATAGTGAAACACAATATTAAACATAAAGCAAAAAACAAAACAATGTTTGTACTTGTATGGATGCTGGACAGTTACTCTCCTACTGGTTCCATGAATTAAACAACACTTATTGCCTTGCAAGATGTTTTTCTGTTCATCAACTCACTTCTTGAACCAAGTAGGACTAGCTGTCGATCAATTCTACCTAAAACTGAAATTCCATCATAAAACATAACTTCAATCTTACCCAGAAGCATTATGCATTATCACATGACTGGTCATTCTCATACCACAAAGATATAACCTCAAAATATCATCCACTTGCCCATCAAAGGATATAGTGGCCAATGACCTAGTTTGACACAAAGTGTGAAGTTGCAGAAATATCTCCACAGGCAAAGTAGATACTATCTGCCGGAGAATAACAAAGACACAAAGGCAACTAGAACAAAATGATTTTGACAGTTTTCCAGACTGAAACTACACAGGAACAGACTACATAAAAAATTTCAAAAATTCCTATACTCATAAAAGATGTTGAAAAATGCATAGTATTCTGGCATATAACACTCTTTTACTAATGAGTTAGCTTTTCAAAAAATAATCAAATTACAAAGAAATGTAAGAAATATGATTTGTAAAAAGGTTCAGAATATAGGAGACTCAGCTGATGTAAACTTCCAATAAAGGCATCCTAGCTATACAAAAGTTGGAAAGTTAGTTGGCAATGATAAACAGGGAAGAAAATTTTTTCATAAAGTTTTCTTTCACTACTCTATAACTTACACAGCTAGATATAGTACAAAACTAAAAGTTAACAATAAATTATCTTGAAGCTCTTATTGAATTCAAAGTTTATTACAAACTACTATGAAAGAGAAAGTTGACTAATTAGTTTTATACCTTATAATCACAAATGTTCTGAGTAGTAATTACCTGGTGAAGCCTATTATACTTTCTGTAAGTTTATGCTAATATTGTTTGTTTTTAATGTAGTACAGTAACACTATTTTACAGTCCTAAGTAACTTTACATAATGGTTGAGACGGGAAAGGTAGATCACAGATTTCCTTGCACCAATTTTCTTGAAAACCAGGAAGATGCTAATGGAAAAAAAGATTGTAAAAAAAAGCAAGGAAACAAGGCTGGAGATACTGTATACATTATTTATTCAAACTAGAAACCTCTATTTTGGCTCCATACTGTTATCTAGAATTACATTTATTTCCTTACTTTGTTTTTATGATCCCTAATTCCAGATTGTTAAATTCCCATTTTTTTTATTTATCTTGTTTGCTGGCTTTTTTATGCTCAACTATGGGCAAAGAATTATTTGACATGCTAGCTAACTTTATACATTGTAATGATAATAAACATAGCCAGTAGCTAGCTGATACAGTTCATAATGATTTACTGTAGCTATTGGCTATTTGATCGCATTAGTTTGAGATGTAAAATGTGAAGCTGCAGCTGGAAATTGTTATGAAGATTTGTTTGAGAATAATTTCTGTGTAATTAAATTCTCTATATATAATGCATAGCAATGGGTAAATATATGCCCAGACTAAGACACAATTTCCAATACGCTTGTATTAAATTTCACCAGTAGAAAAGCAGCCTTTTCAAATAAAACATTGCTTTAAATAAAATAAACCTTTGTGTATTTTAAAGGTTAGCATTTTCTTCAATCAAAAATTTATTTCTAATAATACTTACCTCCTCTCACACTACAGCTGCTACTCGACTGTCAGAGTTTCTTTTCCTTTGCCCACCTAAGCATTGGTCTTTGTTGGGTATACAAGACTGTGTAGTGTAGGCATTATCACTTAATTTATTTTGTGAGCTAATATTCAACGATTGTTGAGTTTTTCATAACAAGAGAGTTAAAAGCAATTGGTACGAATCATATGTTGCGTTTGCATTTCATTGGTGTTAAGGCTATAGAAAATTCTAGAGGCCTCAGTGATAAACATATAAATAGCGGCGACCAAATGAGCGGGAGTGGAGTAAAAATAAAGTCAAGTGAAATAGAAGTTCAGTAAGAAAAAAGTTAGAAAACATGAAGTTAGTCATCGTGGGAGTAAATAGCAGTTGATATTTTAAAAAGAGATTAACAGTTTGGTAGAGATAAGGAGAATAATTTGTCTTGTCAAAGGGCATTCTAAATTAATTGAATCCACTTTTGTGGACTTTGACGAAAAGACAATTATTGGAAGTTCAGGATACAACTGTGGTAACACACAAAGCAGCATAAGTGAATTATTCACTGATACTATTGTGATAAAAGTAGAGAAAAATAGTTTGGCTTGTCATCGAGATTCTAAAGCAATTGAATTAGCCTTTGTGGACTTTTAACGAGAAGAAGAGAACTGTATAGTGTTTAAGATACACCATAGTGTATGATCTCCATAGTGTAAAGAATTTTTGTACATATGATTAACTTGGATATATTATTGTAAAACAAGTGGAGTGCATGCTGTCTATTGTTTGAATTCATTGCCAACAAGTCACAGAAACCTACTGTAGAGTAATCCTTGGCCCACACCCATAAATTAAGTCATCAAGAAATTAATGTCGCTTTTGGAACACTTTCATTAACTACCCCCAAAAAAATATACATCACGTATAATAGTTAAACGAACTGCCTAAACGTCACGTTATTGTAGCCTATATAATGTGTAAAGTTTAGTATACTCTAATTCCTTATAGTGATGGCAGAGGAACACCTATCGTAGTATTGTTCCACTCTAACCACCACTCAAGATCGAAGATAGTGATCCTGAATAAGGAGACTGTGGAATCCAGTGGATAACTGTTCATGATCCATTAGTCACGTAGATACCACTGAATGGATCATATGTGTGCTTGTCCCAAAGGAATGAGGGATTTGAGAGATGCTCACATCCCCAAAAGAGAAAGAACCATCTGCACAGTGGGAAAAGGAGACGTGAGTAAGAGTCAGACTGCCTGTTCCATTGCATGGAGTTGGATAGGAGTCGGCTGAGCCCAACTGGGATACGTCATGAAAAAATATCCAGACTGATGACATATTGTCTAATAAGAATAAGAAATCCTGCTTTGGAAAGCAGAATCTGGGTTTGACATTCTACCAACTGATGAGATGGTGCCAGCAGTAGCTAGTCATCCATGTAATGGTATGTACATAGGCTCAGGGAATGGAGGTGAGGAGAAAAGGTTTGTATGAGTCGACAGAACACATATGGTGCCAGTGCTAGTCTGAAGGGCAGAGTTCTGAATGGCAGCACCTAAACCTTGTGCACAAAATGCAGATAGTGGAGGGACAACTCTGCTATGGGAATGTACAGATAGGTGTCGGCAACATCGAACTTGGTGATCCACAGTCATGTTGAAAAATGCCCACACTAAGTGAAGAATGACTCTATCGTGAACTGTGGAGGATCTAGGAACTGATTTAGACGGAAAAAAATCAATGACTGAATGCCAGTCCCCAGTCTTCTTAGGCACAACAAACAAATGTTTGTTTTCACTAAAACTTTATATTCTATTTGTTATTTTCTCTACCCCAACTCTACACAACGTTGGTTAATCTGACCGACCACGTAACCACCAAAAAAAAATCTAAATAAATCCAAATTATAATTTTTTCTTTCTAGAATGACTTCAAATTGTAAAATGAAACTACATTAGTTTATCCTAAGTAGCTTTAAACTCATAACAATATACATCTATTTATAATTAAATATTATTGTTTTATTGCCCTTTGAACCATGTCTAACTACTATTCATGCCATTATAAGCTGTAAATCACTTGGGGAATGTGGAGGTCACATTACGCTATTGAATTACATTACCCACGAGCTGCTCATGTACATGCCTCATGAAACATTTTTATTATATTATTATTATTTATTTTACCTAATGTAACCTTAACTACCCTAAAGATATCCCTATTTTTATATTTTAGTTACTTTTATAATAATAAATCAAAAATTAACATGAAAACATGAAATAAAGTACTTACTTGAATTTTCTTTTTTCTTGCTGTCATTTGTTGATAACACTTAACCCTACTTTTTTTTTTATACTAATGGTAGTAATGCAATAAGTAATTTTTATAATTAAATAATGCATCAAAGAACATAGACTAATAACATGCAAAAGGTAGACAATTTTCTCTAACTCTCACACGTTTTCTGGCTTTCTAACTATGTGACAAGAGCCATTACAAATTGATCCAGGCTAATTGTTATCTTTCCCGTGGGAACGAAGCTTGTACTAACAATGAAATTGACAATTCTCCATTCAGAAAACAACATTATACAATATGTCATTTGATATTGATTGGTTATTCATTGGTTATTGATAATACAGAATTAAATGTTAGAGAGAACTATTAAAAATTCTGAAATAAAGGATGTGACAGATGGGTGTGGCAAGAGCTCTGTAACCAAACAAAATTGAAGGCTATAAAAATTATGGTTTGTCTGACCAATGATGATTTTATAGTGAGTAATTTACATTTAATTTCATACTTATTGGAGTAGTGGTGGATAAAATATAGAAGAGAAGATGCATGGAGAAAATGTGTCACACTAGAGAAAATTCAAGATTTTCTTTAATATTGCCATATAAAATTATGAACTTAAAACTTATATACTATTAAAATATGGATTATTAGCTAAGATGTTATGTTATAAAAATTGGATTAACAAACAAAAACTAGATTAATTTTGAATGTCACTAGAACCTTGTGACATGCACAGTAAAGGATGCCCGTCAAGATAGGGTTAATGAAACAAAAAACAAAAAAAATATTTCGATATCATCCCATACATACCATACCTTGTACACATACACCCAACTAGTAAATTAAGAAACTGAAAGTTAAACTTTACATATTTAATTTTTGTTTATGAACACTTTTTTTTACCAATTTTTCAAATATCACTGTTCGGTTTAAAAAAGTATTATTTATTGTATTATTTCATATACAAGTTCCACATGCTTGAAAAGAAAGAACATTTAATATCAAAAGTACTGAAACAACAGAGCTCTGGCTGGTAAACAGATTATCTTCACTGAGCTTGTATGTGAATGTAATCTTCACTACTTCCTGGGGTTTACAAACAAGGTATTTTTTAAGGCCAGTAGGGGTATTTGGAACAATTTGTAACACAAAACATGTAACATAAGGGATAATAGTTAGGTAATTTCAGCGATTTCTAGGAATGGTATTTAATGTTGCCACTACAAAAACTTTATTTTCTATTACTGCATCTACCTTGACAGTAGTTTTGGATATTATGACATACAACATGTCCTGGGAATTGCCTCAGTATTGCAACCATTTACTCATACAGCTCCACCAACATGACTTACCATGTGTGATGATGCCCTTAATGTCATTTCAACCCATCTATATATACCTAAGTCCATGAACAGATATATTAATGTAGAATGTTTGCCTGGCCAATTCAAATTAAACTTTTGTTGGTCTGTACAAATTTTGAAATGTATTATGAAACAAAACTACAGTTCTGGTATTAAATCATTAATCCAGAAATTTAATGACAGAACTGTACTGTACACTACACACTGGAAGGTCTACAGTGCTAGATCTCATGGGACTGTGAATCAAAACCAATCATTACAGCTGGGAATGTGAGGAATCAGCTCTCATAGTATGTTAAACATTAGAACTGGAGTAAATAACAATGTAAAATCATTACATACAGTAAAAAATGCACACTATTCATTGTTTGCTTGGGGTGTATGGAACTGGAGCATTATTTGAATATTTAAAAGATTGGTGGGGTAGAATCAAAGTATGGGCCTGATGTAGGTGATTTTGAGTTGGTCCACTTGTAATAGTTAGGAAGCCATGAATGCCTTGTTATATTTGACATTTTAGGGAATGCCGAACTACATGCTTGATCAAATTCTATTCTTTATGATAATGGTAATGCCATACTGGCAATAAAGTTAGAGATGACAAAAACACCTTTACTCACCAAGTAATAATAAAAAACCTTTTTATATATTTGCTCACATTTCACCTATGAAGATTCACTGAGACTAGCAGTACTACTAGTCCTAATGAAGCTGTGAGGACAAAACATTAACTGAAATAGAGATTTTTTATTATCTGGAGAGTAAAGGTGTTTTTGTCTTCTCTAACTTTATTGCCCAAATTTCTAAATCTCTTTAGTATACACAAAAAATTCTGAAAATAACAAAAAATTATGTCATATATTTGCTATATCTAGCAAAGGTTTGAGACAAGTAAAATCCACTATCAGCCTCTGCCAGCTTAATTCTGGGAGGTGTTGAAATGTTGTTTGAAAGGCAGAAATGAAAGACTGTCATATCTCACTTTGCTTAGTTTCTTTGTTAAAGGAATGGTGGTTTATTCCACTAAATATAAAGTAACGGTTTCTAGCACATGTTAAAAACAAAGCCCAGGTTCAGATCAGTAGCAAAGGTACATTCACTTCCTACTAGCATTGGACTCCAGTATTAAAACGTGACACTCCCTTCTTAAAGTTTAATGTCTAAATACTTTTAGTAACGTAATGTATATCTGATATCTTTAGTTTTCATGATATGATAAAATAAAATATTCTGAAACTATCAAACACTACCTGTATTTAAATGGATACATAAGTGAAGTCAGGGCATGGCAGGCTTCAGTTAATCTTGTATAACTTCTGGACTCAAAAAGGATTTTGTGTTCAGTCATTGTAGCAGCAAAAAGTGTAACGACATTGTGGATACCTAAAGAAATTGATGCTACAATTATATAAAAGTCAAAAGACTACTTTCACAACAACATTTGATGTACTACGTTTCGAACAAAATATCTTATTAGATCTACACAATCACAACAACATACCATCTAAACATAAAACTAGACTTTTTTTACAGAGATCTGAAATAAAAGACATTAAATATATTATGTTTCAATGTATTAATATAGTTGTCCGCATTACTTCTAATGTTATTAAAATCTATGGTACAATAACATCTAATTCATCATACTTGTGTTTAAATACAGTTTTACACTATACCTATATCATACTTTTCAACACTTCAATAAATACTTTTTTTGTTTAAGTATCTACATGTAAATAATAATATAAGGGGGCAATGTGGCTTACTGGTTATTGCCCTGGACTTGTAGCCAAAGGTTACAGATTCTTGTCCTTGAACAAGACATTCACTCCAATTGCTTCAGTTTACCCAGTTGTACAGTAGGTACCAGTGGGAAGGTTGGGGTTAATCTGCAATGGATTGGCATCCCATCCAGTGGTGGAATGTGTCACCATCCTCATTCATTTGTTCCACAGAAAACCATAGTTAAACAATGGCCTTATGTGCCTTCTTAAGTGTAACAAGGGTCAATTTGCATACTTTAAATGCCAATGTACCAGTTATCTAATCTATTCTTATCTTACAATATTTGAAACATCTTGTTCCTGTTTTCAAATAATTTTTACACAACAAACATTAAACAAGCAAATTAACTTTTTTTTTCATATCTTAGTGCCAAAATCATCATGCTTATTTCTCTCTTTTTCTTTTTAAACAGATACTGACCTAGGTCTTCAAAAAGCTGATAGACAGTACTGTGTGAAACAGGAAGGGTGGTACTAAGAGGAGGCTGCAATGCTTGTCTGTCACCTGCTCCTATTGAAAATCTTACCTGAGGCCCACCTGCAAGTGAACAGAAATATTATTAAATAAATTTTAGGTTAAATGAAATAAAATACATGTTTTAATGTGTTTAATATATTAAAGCATTATTCTTCTGCCATTTAATAAATGTAGCACCGATTAAAGTATAAATAATATAAAAGAAAGGAAACCATTTTATATATAGTTAAGTTTTAATATTCAAATATATTACTTTGCTTCAAATCTGATTAGACTTGAAATTTTATTTATATTTCTTTATGCTTTACAAGTCAGATTCAATGACACTAGTATAACTGATATGATGAAAATATTAAAAAAAGGCTATTTTTTACTTTAATGCACATATTGTTAAATAGTTCTTACTGACTGATGGTACTACAGACTTACACAATAGATATATTTGTATTATATGGATTAGTACAGAGTACTGAGCAGTGCTGGCCTACTTTATGTTCACCATCAGTTTATACAGTTTATTGGTATGTAATATTACACAATAACGAGTATTTCTGGCCTACTGTATGTGCACCATCATGTGGTATAGATTCTTGGTGATGGAATGCTACACAATACTGAGCAGTTCTGGACTACTGTTTTGCATCATTAAGTGGTACAATTTCCTTTTATGCTGTGCAATACTTGCTTATAGGTATTATTTCCTAACATCATATTACACATCACAGAGTAATGATGGTCTATGTGCACTGTCAAGTGGTATCATTTCATAATAGCTTTAAAAATAGTTAATAAGTTTGGTAACTTAAGTTTTGGTTTGTTGTAGGAATGGAACATACAATTCCCAATCTACTGTCACTCAAAAAAGAAAAATACTGTTACTCTAATTAGAAATAAAGATGATGATAACTCAAGAGTTTCATTCTCATGACCAAATTCATGTGGTACCAACATTGCATACATAACTTAAACTTGAATGCCATATAACTCCATTAATTTTGGGTCAATTAAAATTATTTAAATTGAGTGAAAACAAGAATAGTTTCATATGAATGCAAGATACCATTTTGTCAAATTCAATTTTGGCTGTCAAATTATAATTTTAATAAAACATGATTATGTGTGTGTGTGTGTGAGAGAGAGAGAGAGAGTATATAAACCCACACATAAATATAATCAGCTACTATACAGAAGGATAGTTGGTTTAAATATATTTACCTGGAGGAGGGACTTGAATGCAACCTAAAATGTTTCCTATAAGAGTCTCTATTTGTACTGGCATATTTTCTATGTACACACTGTAGATGATTCCCAGACAGTTCTGAAAAATTTGTAATTTGAATTTCATATTTATAAACCTTGATACTATTTCCCATAGCTCTAGGATATGTATGGAGCTAAAATATAACAATGACAATGACTCACAATGTTAAAACATGAAACTGAACAAACTAATACAAAACAACTTACAATTGTAAAGGAAGGAAGGATTACAAAGTACCTAGAAAATTTAATGTGACACATTATCACCTGATTATCACAATAATGCATGACATTCAACTGTGTACAGAAAGTGATGGAGGAAAAAAAAAGTTTGTATAGAGAATTTAGCTTACAATGCTAAAAACATATAACTTAAGCAACCAATGATCAGTTAGACTTTCAGTGTCACTTCACTTTCCTCTTTTCTTATCCTGACTGGGTGATGCTTTCTCAATAATGAGATTGTACATATAGTATAAGTGAGAACAAAAGAAAATTGAAAAATCTTGTTTAAATTTTTTTTGTCACTTTCTACTCAAAGAATTTAAAAAATACACTTAAATGTACTGAAAAAGTTTCCACTTTCTATTTTTTTAGTCCAAGTTTTAGTTCCTTTTTTTCTTTTCCACTTGTATACCTTAATGTTTAACTGAATTATCCTCTCTGAATTTACTACTATGTCTGTTAATGCTTTTGAAGTCATCACTGAGCTCTTGCTTTGATGAAATTACTTAAATAGCTATAACATCATCTTTATGTTCAAGGCAAAAACAACATTACAATCAAACAAAAAAACCAGAGTAAAAAAGTTAGTCATCAGAAGATAAAATCTTGTGAGTTGCTCATATTTCTTGATATATGTTCTTAGCTTTCCTCTCAGCTTCCATGAATACCAAACTTCAATCAGTCATACTGATTTATTTTATCTCATACTGTCAGGTCAGAGTACTCTTATCTTAAGCCTGTCATTATAAACTTGAAGAATACACATACTTCTCAGCTATTATTTTCTAATGTTTATTTATGTATATTACACTTATGTATAAATTTAATATGTTAAGTAAAATGCATGATAACCTTATAAAGAAATATGACAAATAAACAGCAAATTAAATTTAAAAAATCTGGAAAACTAAAACTGCTACTCTAAAATTTTCAGTTGTATATAAACTATTGAGCCTATTAAAATTAAAACTAGTATATGTAAGACTAGAATGCATCACAAATATGGGTTGATTGTTACAGGCCATGTTTGAATAAACTATCTGAAAGTTATAATTTTTTCTATACAGAAAATGTATTTGTGATAGATACCTTTTAATATAATAGCTTTTCTCATTTAATGCTGCCCTCTTAATGCACATTTATTTTGCTCACCACTAGCCTTGATACTCCCACCTACCCCATGTGTTTAATGTGGTACAGCCGCACTGTAGCATACAAAATTATGTGACAACACTCCACCAATAAAAGTGAGACTCACACTCTTGGCGCAGAAGTCTTCCCCTTGATTACAGAGTCTAACCTCACTTCGAGATTAGGCACCAAGAACAAAACATAATTGGGGAGGAAGCATGGGAAGTGTGACAAGAGGTAAGTATGTATCAGAAATACATTTTCTGTGTAAGAAAATTATAACTTCTGATACAATACCTTACCTCCATTCACATAATAGCTGGAATCCCACATTAATCTGGTGGAGGGATCAGTGTAAATTGACTTCAGTGAGTTCCCTTTGGAATGTGTCTAAAGAGAACCTATAGTGTGAGATATCTCTGTGAAGATGAAACACACTCGTGGGAGACTGCACCACATCTGAACCAAGAATACGCTTTGCCTTTGAAGTATGATAGTGGTGATAAAGGGGCAGCAAAAAGGCACATAAGAGAATTAGTTATACATGATCCATGTAAACAGTGGACAGGGCACATTTGATTGTGGTTGAGAGATCAACTCCAGCCCCAAACTGTCAGAACTGGGAAAAGAACATCTAATACCTGGTAGGAGGAGGGTCCTCTACCAATAAGTATGTTTAGTTGCCCTACTGACACTAATATTTCAAAGTTCTTTAGCTGAATCCAGTAGAAACAAGTAATAAGCCAAACTATACATATGGATGAGTTTCACATCTACATCCAAAATACACATGTATAAAGTCATTAGAAAGAGCTCATTTTACACTGTAATCAAACAATGTTTGCTTTGAAATTGGCAACAAGTTACCATCAGTGGGTAGATGTAACTGTTTGTAGTACTGTTAGCCATTTTGTTCACAATAGCACTTCGGTTGTTTCTTACCTAAATATGCTATAGTTAGAGAGACAGTTAAATTGTATTTAGGTTTTACTTATATATTTTAGTTATATATTATTTGTGTTTTAAGATTCATATTAGAAAGGTTTAATCATTTTTAAGTATATTCTAATGTAATCATTGTTCCCCAAGTGTTACCTTACCATGCGAGTACAAAAAAGATTTTACCAAAGGCTACAATATCTCTGCTGATCATACCATTCTATTAAAAAGATTTTGCCAGAGGCTACAGTATCTCTGCTGATCATACCATTCTATTGTTTGTGGGCACCCACTGATGTGTGTAGACATAAATAATTAATGCTAAAGAATAAGAAAACATTAAAAATAAACTATAAGTGAGAGATAAAGACGTGAAATTAAGCATGTGACCTAAAGAAGGTATTTTTTAGATTATTCAATTAACAGTTAAAAGGTAAGTAAATATTTTCCATTTATTAATTTTAATCACTTCATTGCACTGTATAGTGATGATAAAAGTTAGTGGTATAGTAGAAAAAATGGAAAATAAAAACTGTTGATATTCATTTAATTGGTTCTAGAGATTGTGCAAATAAAATATGAAAACTTTAAAATGATAAATCGTATTTTTATACTCTAAATAAAAAGCACCTTACAGGTGAACTATTCAGAGTCAGAGTGCAAACAACTACATTAAGTAAAAATTTTTTATTATTAGAAATATTAGAAAAAAACAAAATCAAATATTTTATTTTTCTGAAACTACATATTTTAAGGAATGTTCTTGTCAAATTTCAAACAATTTCATCCACTAGTTTTATTTTTGAATGATGATAGCAATTGTCCTACAAATTGTAGGACCTGGTAGTCATAGGGTTAGGGCACATCGGACTGTAATCAGGAGATCAACTACATCCAAAACCAGCAGAACTGGGAAAGGATCAACTGGCCCATGGTAGGAAGGAGTTTCTCTACTATTGAACTCAGACTCTGGAATAAGCAGGGACGGAGCACCTTCATTCTGAGAACCCAAGCCATCATGTGTGTATATCCAACACAAACAACACCTGTCCTCCAGGGAACCGACGTCCAGATGACAGTAGGAGAGTGAAATGCAATGTGGAGGTTCAAACAAATCCAAAACCATGCAGCATTGGGAATGTATCATCCAATCTAGCTCTAATGTATACTATACGGGAACCAACATCCAGGCAGTAGTAGGATTAGGGATCCCAGGCAGAGGGATGAACTGCATTATGGTGGATCATCTCCAGTCCACGACCATGTGACATCAGGTATCACACTTCTGGTCCATGGTAAAAGGAGGATTCTACACCATCTACACTGGCAAAACACCACAACCCTAATCTTAACAGAGTAGTATTGGGCATGGTCAGGAAGAAGCCTCCACGGTCCACCACCCCAGTGGCTAGGAGCTGGTAAGTGGTAAGAACTCCAATACTCCATTGGAAGAAAGGGAGATGCACTGGAGAGTCCTGAGTAATGCAACACCTGAGAAAATACAACAAGTGATCACAAAAATCCTTCAACAAAAGGAGCTGCATGGATGGGAAGCTATACCCTTTTGCTTTACTCGTGCTAGTCCATGAGGGTATAATACAGGATGGACATGTTTATGATATAAAAAACTGCAAGGAAAAACATAAAAGCAGTCTTGTGGAACATCCCATCTCAATGGTGGCCACTAATAACCTTATTGGCCTTACAGTGAGGATTTAAAAATCAGTATATGTGGACGTGCATCATTCGCCACTGAGTGGTATCCAACAAGAAGCAATAGAAAGAGAACCTGTAATAGAAATAATGATAAGTAAAGTAACCTTACTGCCTTACAGTTATACTATAGCATGTAAGACTGCAACAGGAGACAGGTATAGGTAATGTGAAACAAAAGTGTGAAGAGTGGTTCACATGCCAGCCTAGATGAGCTCCTTCAATGGACGATGAAAACGAGCAGCCAGTGACAAGGTGAGAGGAAACCTGGAAAAGACAATGGTCATGTAAGATTAAGGAGGAGAAGTAGGGCAAATTAATAAGTTGGCAAATCCAACCTGTACAGGTAATCCGAGAAAGGTCTCTAGAAATGGAAGGATTCCAGTGAATAAAGAGTTAGGAAAGGGAACCACAGAAGGAAGTAGTGCATGTCATATAATATTGTAAAGCTCAGACTGAACGGAGGAGTCAATCCGGATCGGAACAGGAATACATATACGAAACAGAGAGTAGAGAAATAGGTGTGAATGCAAAATTACTCTCATGAGCTGCCGTGGTCTTAAGAAGGAAGGTCCCATCAGTGTAGAGAATGATATAGCTGCTGTGGTAGAGGATGCGTGAAACATCGATGGCAAACATATCCAATTGACAATGCTCACAGGCTAAAAGGATGAGGAAATAGGTTTTCAAGGAAAGATGGTACAGGGAGCAATCTGCTAAAGGCGCAAGGCTTGTTTAATTTGAAAGAGCGGTGCATGAAAAAGTGGTGGAATGTGGATTGAGAATTCTCTAGATTTAAATCCCACCGAAAATGTCGGAGCTTTTGTTCAACAATGCAAGGAAGAAATGTTGGAAACTTTGCCTGAATGCGAGACACACAAACATGAAACCTTGATTCGTGTTCTCACTGATGTGCTCACAGACAGCCACAAAAATGTTTGTTGCATTGCTGAAATCTTTTGCAAATCGATCAAAATTCGTGCGTGAGAACAATGGTGGCCCAATAAAGCAATATTGATACTTGGAATTACTTTTTTGATTGAATTAAAATCTTATTTTACTTTGTTATGCTCTCGGGGAATAAAGTGTGATTTATTTTACAACAACCCTTAGGATAGGGGAGCCTGACTCCACATGACTCCAAGGATTCAGAGATAACCCCAAAAATAGACTGATGCAAAAACAGTGCCATGCGTAAATCTGTTAAGAATGGGGGGCAAATGAAACTGCATCAGAAGGACATCTCTTTCTAAAAGATCCCAACAACACAGGAATCAAGTGTGAAGGGACAGGGTAAAACAAATGTACCAACATGGACATCAATAAGGAATGGCCATCCCCCAAAAACCCCACAGGGAGAACAATAGATAGCCTCAGATGAAAGATGAATAGAAGAGAGGTAGCAAAGGAGGGAAGTTACGGTTAAATGAAGGCAGGAGAACTGTGCCTGGGAGAAATGGACTGAGGTATCAGAGTCCAAACCCCAAACTGGAATTAAAGAATAAAAAAAAAAAGGATTCAAAGTCCAATGGTAGGCCAACCCATGAGCCTCAGAAGAGAGAAGGGTATGCAGCATGCTAATCTCTGAACATAATTGGTCAGCAAAATCCTCAGCATGGACCCTGATATCGGGAGAGAGAGGAAAAAGAAAATTCGGAAACAGGTGCGTCATGTAACAGGGAAGAGAATGGGTCATATGACACTGGGTATAAGGACAAGATATAACAAACCTGTGTTACCAAGTCCAGAAAACCTGAAGAAGATCTAGGTGCATTAACTGCAGCTGAAAGAAATGAGGAGGGAAAAGTCTGTTGAAATCTTCATCATCCTGTCCAGTGTCCCCAGGGAAGGGGAGAACAGGTTGAGGGTCTGGAGAGCCCCCAGCTTGCATGAACAACTCCATTTTCTAGCAGATGAAAGCCAAAACCACCTCTGCCAATAGTCGTACCCATGGACATGGTAACAGGTGGCTGAACCATAGTAGTGGTAGCAGTTGAAGTTGTCTTGACAATAAACTGCAAATTCATAACTAAATTTGAAGTGGATAAGTACACCAAGAAGAAAAGTCTTGGTATAAAATGAGAAAAAAATCATGAAAGATATTAAACTAATTAGATTATTGAAGTCGAAAATTGAAGTACAAAATCTAAAGTAACAGAATTTGTAAAAACTTAAAAGTGTGGTGAGCAAAACATCTAATCACTTGAGAGCCAAATTGAGAAGTGAGATTAGACTCTGTAATCCAGGGGGAGACAGCTGCACCAGATGTGTATCTCACTCCTATTGGTGGAAGGTTGTCTCATGATTGTGCACACTACAGTGCAGCTGTATAACAATAAACATGTGGAAATAAGTGGAAATACGAAGGCTAGTGGCAAGAAAGAAAAATTGAGCATATAGAGGGTAACATTAATTGACAAAAACTATTACGTGAGAAGAGGTAAGGTATCATGTCATAAATAAATGTTCAAATTCTATAACCTTAACAGAATTTATATTTTTAATGATAACTTTTTTACTTACCTAAAGTAAACATTTTCTATTTGAAAAAACATTTCAAATTAGATACTATTTGTATTTTAAATTTTTACTTGTGACATTTTATATTCAAGCTTATAACTCAATTATTTTTCACTTGATTTTCTTAACAAAAAAAACCTCTTTAAAACTTTACCATAAAACAAACAATAAGGATTTAGAGATATTATTTGCAAATATAATTTATTAGAAAGGTTTAGAGCAAAGTAAATTGGATAGTTTGCCTGGCAATTTAAGTTTTATGATATTTTGCATTCCATTCATGTTACTTCTTCAAGTCGGTGCACCATCAGGGTGAGAACCTTTTGTAATGAAATGTATTTTTTGACAGCAATATCACAATGGCCTGAAAAAGAAACACAAACATGACCCAAAGTGTTATCCAATTTAAATTGCCTAGTAACTTGTCCACATAACTTCACTTTGCAATTTTTTTTAACAAACAATCACATAGTGAGGCATTTAAGTGAAAGTACTATATGATATGCAATTCTGCAAGGATACTGACATACCCTGAAAGTAGCAAAATAATCTAAGCTGGAGACAAGAACCAAACACTTTGGAGCATACATGATGGAATGATGTTGAACACTTGAAGTATCTAAACTTTCTTCTTCGCCTTCTTCGTCTGGTGGTTTGCTGGGAGTTATGGCCACTGGTTCGTTGAAGGAAAGACATGCACAGTAATGACGGTTGGCATCGATGTCGGTCAAAACAGACACAAAAAAAGTGGGTTGTTTGTGAGCAGTTGAGAGACTCCATCCTTGTGGCTGACAGAACTAAAAACATCACACAATTTTTTTCATTCCTACTCTTGTGATTAACAAAACTTAAATAACAATAAGAAACTTGTAAGCTATAAGGATTACTTGTAACAGTAAGAAATAAACTAATGCATCAATTTTCCAATTTCTGAAAGTATATAGCCAGATTGAATGTATTATGTTACAGAAATTTACGAGAAATAACTTACATTATTAAAAAATATTTAAAAATGTATTCTAATTATATATAACTTTATTAATTGAGCAGTTTAAAATAATTAAAAAAAACTTTATAATGGAAACTACTAATAAACATAACTTAGCTTTCAAACACCCTTAACTCTTTAAACCAGCAATTTTTTGGGCATTCTACCTGAATTATTTTTACGATTTCCTAATAATTATCACTATACCTTAAGAATCTTCAATTTTATTAATTTTGTGGATAATGACATTGTAATTGATTAGTTTTTAGGCAAATGGACATAAATGTTATCATACGCTGCAAATTAATGAGCCATAAACAAATCCCATTTATTAAATTCTATAACAAGATGTTCCAAAATTTCCCATAACATTTTGATCTAACTGGGACTTATCCAAAAAAATTGATAATTTATAAATTTGATTTTCATAGTTCTATTAAAACAAAAAAAGTTTATGTTTTCCTTTAATATCTTTTTTCCCCAATGATACTAACAAAGGAAAACTGCTGAGATAATATTTCTACACAAAATAAGCAAATATATTTTCTTTGCCTTTAATAGAAATGTGTAATTTTTATTGCTTTTAGTTCTATATATATAGAGAGAGATTTTATTAATTAATATCATAATACAGACAAGGGCATCTGCAGAAATTTTTGTAGGGTGGGGAAGCAGTGTGAGATTGTGAAGAGAATAAAAAATTCAACACATATGCTGAATAAAGCGAGAATTGTGTTTCTCACTTTCCAGAAAAAGAATGTGGCAGAAGTATTATACAACTGATAATAAAACATTTTATTTCAACTAAATTTACAGCTATCTACAATTTGTATCTTACTTTACAAAATATAATATGAGAATTAAATAATATCACAAGTAGCAACTGTGTACATTTACATCAAAACTTTAAGTATAAGCAAAGCTTTTCAGGTATCAATGAAGTCATTATATTGATGTGCTACATAAGTTATAACTGAAAGACACATACCAGTTCTATCCCATCTATAAATGGGGTATCTTCCCAATCTTTTTCTGGAAACCGTTGCAAAATTTTTCCAATGCTAATACCATTTCCTGAAAGCCAAAAAAGAATGATTATAACTGTTTATTCAAAATATTTATTTTACATGTAAGTATAATAATCAAAAAACTTGTGGAGAATAAATTTTCAAATCAGTTTACTCTGTTCTCTAATGAATACTGGAAGTTCTCATTATATGTGTGTTCAGCAAATGCAAATTATGGGAAGTCTCTATTTCTATCAAAAATTCATTATATGTTAGAATAATTCAGCCTTATGTGGTCGAGCATGAGAGAACATTCTCTGAGTCAGTCACGCTGTGCCTTTCTGCTGCTGCTCCCCACCGATGCAAGTGATGCATTGTGGGTACACCTGGGTTCCCGCCACCTAAAATAATGCATCTCTGCTGCCTCAGTCTTGCACTATCCTTTGTTCTATGCAGATCTGTGCTTCTTTTGCACATTTTGTGGACTGTTTAACTTCTGTTCCTGTACATTTTACAACTATGGCTTCCAAACATCCTGAAAGTTCATCTTCTAGTCCTAGCTCTAATTTACCCATGAAGTGGAAGAGGACTGCAGTGATGCTAGAATTGAAGTTAGAAATCCTAAAGCATGTGGAAGCTGGTGGAGGCCCCTCTGTGCTTAGTTATGCCAACAATCTTAGCAAGTCAACTATACATGTCATTAAGAAGGACACTGATAAAATTAATAGTTCAGTGATATATTCAACACCATTGTCAACAAAGGTGATAACTAATGTATGGAATCCTGTGTCTGTGAAGATGGAGAAGAAGCTGGGACTTTGGATTGAAGATCAAAACCAGAAAAAAATTAATCTTAGCTGTGCCAGTATCAGAGGTAAAAGTTTGAGAATTTATGAACGTTTGATCCATGACCCATTTATGACCAGTAAGGACTGGTTTGCTAAGTTCATTCTTCAATCGAATCTGCAACTACTGACCACACTGCTGCTGCCAGATATATAGAAGAAATGACAGCAATAATCAAAACAGGGTACAGCCCTAAGCAAGTTTTTAATTCTGATGAAACTAGGCTGTTTTGCATTCATGAACCTACATTAGTAAGAAGGAGAAGGTAGCACCCGGTTTTAAGGCAGTGAACAATAGGCTGACACTGCTATTATATGGAAACTTAGCAGGTGGCTTCAAGATGAAGTGACTGATTGTATACCATTTCCTGAACCCTCATCCTCTATGAGGCCTTAACAAGAAAATTTTGCCCATGCACAGGACTGCCAACAAAAAGGTATGCGTTACTGGCCAAGTATTTGAAGAATGGCTCACTAATCATTTTGTTGTGGAGAGCAAGCTATATTGCAGGGAGGCTAGCCTTGCATTTAAGGTGCTGTTTATCACTGACAATGCCCTGGGACACCCCAAACCTTTGGAAAACATCAATCCTAATGTCAGAATTTTGTTCTTGCCCCTAACACTACCCCATTGCTCCAGCCCCTTGAACATCTCGACATGAGAGGCCTACTACCTCAGGCAAACCATCAGCCAGTTTCTGGACAACACTAATGGACCTGACAAACCAACAATTCCTGACTGGTGGAAGTCCTACAACATCAAAGCATCATGGGACGAAGTGAAATCATCTATCGGAATTCTAAGAGTTTCCTAAGTTTTAAACAAAAGTGCAAAGGGTTGTTGAGCTTGGACATAAGATGGGCGGGGAAGGCTCCTCAAACCTTGAGGAAGATAACATCATGCAACTTGTAGATTCCCATGATGAGGAGCTGAGTGTCAATGATTTCACTATTTTTTACATACAAATTGGTATTCATATGCGATTTCTCATTATACACACTTTTTTAGGAAAGCAACTCTCGCATATAACAAAGATTCACAGTAATGTTATTTGCATGTTATAATTGCTGTCTTTAGCAGTATATATTGAACATATTTAGGGATTCTGTCTGAGTTTCTCTTGATGCATTAATTAATTGCTATTCTGTAAATTAAAATAATTTGGTTCTACTTTTAAAACAAATGAATCAAATTCATTAATTTCATGGAAACTATAATAGAAATTTTAGTAACCTTTGAATGTATGAATAGAAATTTCATCCTATTGATGACAAGTACTTTTAATTAACAGAAAACAAGACAACTAGCATGCATGTGTTTATATACCTATTAATTCAATTGCATTAAACAAAATGGATTTATGTTGCAATCTCCATTTTAAATAAATATTATTTAAGCCCATGAATATTATGACAAATAAAACAATATATTTCAGGAAATTTTGAGTGAGGAATCATAAACAGTTAAATGATTAAAAAACAATTCACAAACTCAAGTTTGACCCCAATAAATACAACAAGTCTACTTTCAAACATATTTTACTATTCAAATCATGAACCCTTAAAAAGAAATTCTGTAAAGCCTTTATCACTGGAAACTGTAATACAAATTTATTTTTTGGTGAAATATGAAAAAGAAATCTTATTTAGTTAATTTTCTGTACAATCAACACTTCCAATTTAAGGGATAAAATACTTTTATTTTTTACTGAGAAAGGAACAATTCTTAGCACATTTTTAAAATACAAAAAGGTGTAGATGTCTCTTTTGTTCAAATACATAACCATGAACTAATGAGTAGGTAAAAAGAGATTCATTTGGACCTACTAATGACATCTGTAGTGACTAACAAGCAAACACAAAAAGGGGGCTCATCTATGAATGAATGGAATATGAATGTCATGAACTATTAATATATGATTCTTACAAGTGGAATGGAAAAATCATGACAGAAAAATTACATTTACATAAGGCCAACTCATTTAAAAGTTATAAAACTGAAAATTCACCTCTGATGATGAATGTGTATGTTTAGATGTCCAAAACATGTAAGGTAAACTTGTTTATGTTTCTTAACATAATACGTGTATTAAAATCATTTGTTGCACCAAAGAACATTGCATGTTAGTTTAATTTCATAGAAAGAATGGCAGTATGGCTAACAAGCACACTTTTTACATGACAAAATACAACAACAAGACAAGTAAATACAGTGATGTACTGGCAGACCAAATGACAAAACAGTGTAATGCTTGAAGCATGGTCAAGTATATAGAACAACACACATTTTTATTAAAAGAAAAAAGGCTCCCTCTCACTGTAAGTTATAAGGGTTTTATAATAAGTAACACTGTTCAATAAAAGTAATTTAATTAGCATCGTGTAAGTGTACATGTAATATGACATTTGCTTTGATGGTCACAGGCTCTGCTGCAATTGTAGACAAGCTTTGCAAAGAATGCTACAAGTCTTGGTTATTAAATTGAAAATCAGATAAATTTCTAGGAGTCTCTAGCATAAAGTAGACAAACAAAAAAGTAGTTCATACTACCTTAGGTTAATTTATCTAATTAATCTTCTAAACATCTACTTGTTTATGATCACATTAAAGAGTTCAATGTTCCATTTTATGAAGTTGGTTTTATGTGTTTAGCCCATTAAGTATTATCACATTTCATGTGCCTGACAGGTGGTGATTATGGTAAATTTAATTTTGTTAGGAACTAGAATTGGAATAGTTGGCAGCATAATGTAAAGGTTAAGTAATGATAGTCTTTATAAAATAAACTTTGGATACAGCTAGCTAACTAATTAGGTATAAAATTAATTGAACAAAGCTGAACTGTAAGGGGTGAATTAAAATAAAGGTTTAACTGAAATAACTCTGTATTTATGGTTGGTAAATAAAGCATGTAAATTTTCTTTCTGATAATGTGTCTATGCACACACATACACTACCTAACTTTAGTTTATTTACTATAGATTATCAGGGGGGTGATAAAAGCTATCCATATAATCAGAGATGATATGACCAAGATTTGATTGAGTACATGGTATTGTTTGTCTTCAGGTAAGATATTTGCCTTAAAATCATCAACATTTTTCACAGCATGTAAAATGACATGAAGTGAAATATGAGTTTCAGTTGTATTGTAGAAGACACCATAAAGATAACAGTCATCATTCTGGTATTTTATTCAAAGATTACAAGCTTGCTGCTTTAACTAGTGTACACAAATGTATAAATAACTGAAAAAATAAGTTGTAGGTAGAAGCAACAAGTCTGAGTGAAGATGCCATGTTCTGGCATATGCAAGTTAGTGAAGGCATTAATTTCCATTCAAACCACTGGACTAATAAAGACTGAGAAAAAGAAAGCAAGACTGGTGAAAATAAAGTGGGATGACTTGCAACAGATTCCATTCAATGATATCAAAGTACTTCAGAGATTGTTACCAAGATAAACCTCAGAAGAATGAAGCCAACTGTAGTGACTGCAATATAGAGAGATCAGATAATGAAAAGGTATGCTTCAAAGCTAACAGCTAGTTCACGTTCCTCCTAAAAATAAAGGATATTAGAGCATAAAAAGTTATTAAAGATACGACAGATAACCCAACCACTATATCTAGAAGTAAAGAAGATAGTAGAATTAGTCAGAGATAAAATAAGATCGAAGACAAACAACACTTCTGTCAACACAATGATCAAAACCAGAACAGCCCAGAAATGATGGCTGTTTCATCTATGATTTTCAAGAATGTCAGCACAAGTAATCCTTCAAAATATGAAGTTCAAGAATTCATAGGATGCTAATCTTTCATGAAAGTGCCCAAGGGGACAATAACAAAAAGGCTAACAGAATTAACAGATAAATTTCTATCCATGAAACTGTAGTGACCATTGATCCAAACAGAAATGATGGTACAGTGGAAAACTGACTAGAACAATAAATTTACATCCGTAAACATCTGACAGAAGAAGTTGATATTTCTTAGTAAATGAGGAACACCAAAAGATGAAGCTGTTTAGTGCAATGCATCAGAATCTCCTCAGCCATAATATAGAAAAAAAAATTATGCATAATGTAATAAGCAGCATATCTAAGATAGAGGGTTTCATAAAATTGCAGGGAAGTCTGTGGCTAACAATGGAAGTATCATCACAGTTAAATTGAATACCATAATAACATGTAGCATCTTAGGAATAGGTATGGTATGGA